GGTCTTTGTCCCATTCAGGCTGCTGGCAGTAGACATCTCTACTAGAGGCCTGGCCCCTCCCACCGCCACACCGTCCCCTCACACACTCGGAAAGAAAAGACGGCACGTCCGCAGGTCCTGTCCATCACGCGGGCCTTAATTAGAGGGGATTCGAATGCCCCCTTTTGTGCCCTCCTCACTCTCGCTCCCTCTTTCTTTAACCCCCCTCCCCTCCTCCCCGCACACCCTCACTCATTTCACTCTCTTTTCACTGGCTCCCACCCTCTCTTTTTCTCCCATTCCTCCCTTCTCTCCCCTAACCCTTTTTTTCACTTTTGTTGCCCTCATTTTCTTGGCAGGGAGCGAGGCACCTCTTCAGACGTCCTCTCCTCTATGCCTTGAGCCCCTTTATACCCCCCCCCCCTTCTTTTTCTTCTTCTTCTCTCTCTCGCTGCCCCTTCCTCCCAAACCCAGTCTGGAAGCTGAGTGTGACCTAATGTTTGACAGACAAGTAGCCTTGGAGAAAAGACTCATCTATCAGAGGCTTGTAATTCTATTAGAATAGACAGCCCCCCCCCCCCCTCCCCCTCCCCCAGGCCAGCATTTGGCATATTCTCTTCATCAATTTAGCTCTTCTCTAAACCCTCCGGGCGACCGGCCTACTAAATGCAGTTTACGCCGACAAATAATCACAGCGAGTTAATAACGTGTGTGTGTGTGTGTGTGTGTGTGTGTGTGTGTTTCTGTGTGTTTCTGTGTCTGGGTGCGTGCGTGACCTAACTTTCTACCTATCTTTTTTTCTTCGTGGGGAGCTGTTGAGCGCTTTGATATTAAGCATCAAAGTACAATTTCTCTTTTCAAATTCTAATCTCATCCGAGAGGCTGAAAACAAAAAAAACAGAAGGTCTGATTCAGGGAACTGTGGTGAGTTAAGATAGGAGGATCACAACCAGCCACTAATCAGGATTGTTATCAAGATCCCCAGATGTTTATATGTAGACAAAGATGGTTACACGAAACATCTATTGTCGTGGCTTGTTATCAGACCTAATTACTGATGTGAGACGAGGAGACGAGAGACGAGGAGAGGAGAGGAGAGGCTTTGCTTACGTCCCCTGCTGGGATGTTAAATCGAGGAGGATATGTTTAGCGCAGATTGTTATTTGTCTGTAATCAGCGCCTTCCTGTCAGTCATGATGACTTGAGATGAGTAAATGAAAGGAGGTGGAGTGAAGCAAGAGAAGGAGACGAGAGAGGAGGAAGACGTCTGGACAGCAATCAAGGCGTACCACAAACAGGAAATGTAAGTTTAGCGGACGCCCCAGCTGTTGTGTTTAGCCTCGCTGCCGTTACAGTCCAAAATCAAAGCAGCAGGAACGGCTCATACGACAACTTTTCAAGTGGCAGGCCCCGAAAATAGTCCGTTTACATTAACAGAGCTTTCCCACTGTTTCAAACCGGCCCAGTGTTTGGAGTGAATCCATGTTGTTTGTCTCTCTGTTTCCTTGAGTGGACATTTTACTGTGCGTGAGACGGACGGGAAACATGCTGCTTAGTGCTTGTGTGTGTGTGTGTGTGTGTCTGCCTGCCTTTGTGAGGACGTGTTGTCTCAGTGGTTAATGGCTGTTCGATATTGATTACAGCTGGAGACATCCGAGTCACATGTTCCTCGTCCTCTCCAGATAACGAGGGTTAACCACTTGACCCCGTGCATGCCAAAGGGGCTCCGCTCATACCCGGATCCATAGCCCAGTGCCGAAGCCACATGTTCCCGCAGCTCCACGGAGGCCTCAGCCCTCTGGTCTCCGGGCCTGTCCCGTACGTAGATCATGGCCGTGTCCTTGAGCCGCACCAGAGGGAAACGCGCCAGACTTCATTAAGGACAGATTAAAAGCAAAAGGGGAGGCCACTTTAACTGTGATTTATTTTCACTGTGAGGTTGCTGGGTCGACTGCAGGACCGCAGCGGCTTCATCCCGGAATGATGATGTCATGGCTTCAGTGTTTGCGAAGTGTAAATAGCAGATTGGGAAGGAACCATGTCCTCGGCAGCAGGGTTCATCTTGGAGTATCACAGAGCGGAAAACAAAACCCCACAGAGAATCACTGCCTGTTCTCCAGTTTAGAGCTGAAACAAATCAGTGGACTACTCAGAGAATATTCATCTGCAACCATCTTTACTATGATTGATGATCTTTTTAGTCGGTTATTCTCTCTAAATGAGAGTATTTCCTGCTTGCTTCTCTTATAAACTCTCAACTGTTGGATTGCATTGAAATTTGGTGCAGACGTTCGTGGTCCCCAGAGGATGAATCCGCCTGACTTTTGGTGATGCCCTGTTCTCTCCACTAGCGCCACCATGAGGTTGACATTTCTGTTTTTCGGTGAAATATCTGGACAATTATTGGATGGATTGCCATTACATTTTAGCTATTTAGCATAGCTATTCATGGTCCCCAGAGGATGAATCGTCCTGACTTTGCTGATTCTCTAACATTTCCTGGTGTGCCACAGGCAGGTCAACATTTTCACTTGTTTTGTGAAATATCTCAACATCTACTAAAGTAGATGGATTGGCACAACATTTTGTACAGATATTCGTGGTTCCCAGAGGATCAATCTTTACAACTATTGTTATTTGTGCTCCCTGAGGTTGACATTTATGTTCAAATGTGAAGGGAAACGTCTCAAACAGCTATGGGATGTAAGGCCATAACATTGGATTCACACATTCATGTCCCCCTCAGGATGAACTGCCAAAAACTTTGTTGATTATCAATAATGACAATAATCTTTTTGCTGCCTGACTCCATTTTGAGTCTGAAGAGCATCAGTGTATGAGCTTCTGTGGTATCAAAGTACATTCAGGCTATTTATAGAGGAACTAATCACAGCCACCTATACACATTACCATGATGACCTCATTCCTTGGAAATCTATCTCATAGGTGGCCGTCTGAGGGGGGGGGGAATAAATCAAATTCCCTTCCGTGTATGTGTGACAGAACATGAAAGCTACGCTCAATACTCTCCTTTGTCCTTACATGTACTGCACTTTGTAGAGCTTTTATGTTTGTGTAGAATAACGCGGACAGTCCAATATCTCCATAATCCTCTTGTGCTGTATATGATGATGTGTTCGTCCTCTGCCACGTGTACTGTTGTAAAAGATTAGTTTTGACTTTGCTCCTCAAGGCAAACGTCTGAGTTGTGTATTGTGCTTGGCTGATAGTGTGTTTTGGAGTCCGCTGCTTCCCAGGCTGTGGTTTGATGAAACTCTTACAACAACAGCACGGTATGTCCACCATCATCATCATCATCATCATCATGGGGCCATGTTCCTATTGACCGCTCGGCTTCGGCCCCTCAGCTGTGGCACTCGTCAAAGTTGTACACAGGAGGCGTCTTATTGGCCCGCAGCCGATCGGGGGGGTCTATCTGTGACCATCTGATTGGCCACCGAGGTATCAGGTATCCCAGACGTCCCCTGCCATCAGACGGGTACACATGCCAGCTCTGTGGCAACTGGCCTGTGTTTGCTGTTACTATGACAACAGTCAGCCGGCTCTTAGCCCGGCTTCTGAGGATGCAGCAGCAGTGGCAAAACTCCAGCAGCACTTGAAGCATTAAAGAACAACTATTTGACCTCTGCAAACCTTTTCCCTTCTCCATGCAAATATAGGTGAAGCTGAGCCAGAAAAATCACCACTCTGATGCAGCCTTGACACTCCAACCTCTGCGGCCCCACGTTATCACTGCCCCAAACACACATGAAACACACACACACACACACACACACACACACACACACACACACACACACACACACACACACACATTTAAATACTTTCAGATAATTAGTGCACACCCATCTGGGTTTGACGCTGATATTAATGAGCTCATTGTTTCCACAAAGATTTATGGGCTGATGAGGCACAGCGGCATGTAATAAAACAATTATTTTTTAAAACTTCAGGAATCATAAGACATGTCTTAATGTCTCCTCTCCAATTATATTGAATCCAACCTCCTGTATGCCATGAATCGATTTCATCACAACCATTAGGGGGCGGCATTGATTGAATAAATGCACCAAAATTAAGAGAAACTCTCCTTGTCCCCCCCTCCATCTCTCTGTATCTCCCTCTCTCTCTCACTCACACACACACACACACACACACACACACACATAGGCACACAAAGGGGGCACAGACATGGACATGATCAATTATGTGTCAAGCATTTCTTCCTCAATGAATGGCCCAATGACTATAGGCTACCGACCGTCTATTGTCTATTGACACTGGAGACTAGTTCTCATGCAGTTCATTATCCCTAAAGGGGACAACTAGAAAGAGATCCAAAGAGACCATTAATCATCATTCCTTTTACAGAGCAGACAAGGAAAGGACCGAAATAACAGATACTGTAATCCTATACAGTATGTTCTAAAGATTATGTCAACAAAGAGGGTTTCAACCTGTAAGTATATTTATAGAGAGAAAATATTACAAATGCACTCATCCTACCTACCTCAGACATACTTATAATTCCCTGAGGCTTATATTACATGAATGTTATGGCATACATGTTTAGTACAGGATCTCCAGGGACTAGCAGGTCCTGGGCTTAAAGGGGACAAAGTTTTTTCTTTTCTTTTTCTCCACTAGGCACTTTTACGCACACGCTCCAGTAGCCTATCACGCTCGTTTCCTCGAACTCCACAGCTTTCAGTATGACGAACAACTCCAAAGTCCAATTCAATTTGGGTCGATGGCTCGGGCCGAGGTGGTGGTGGGTGTGGAGATGCTGGGGTCAATCCAATAACAGACTCCCTCCCCTATAGCTGCCTACTCACCCCCCTCCCTCCCTCCCTCCCCAAACCCCATCCACGTCCCCATAAATGCCTTTTCGCTTCCTGCATCCAAAGTCGGACAGAGCGCTGTGATTGGCCGCGGCCCGCACTGTGGGCCGTCCCCCCCACATCGCTCTCCTCTTCAGCTCGGGTTACAGTTGAGCTCGAGCTGCTGCACTCACCGGATCGCGGAGAGTGTGAGACACGGTTTTAAAAGAAGAAGAAGAAGAAGACGAAAAATACACCGGCGTGGAGATGTTGGCGAGCGGATTCGGAGCCACCGAGCGGACCGGTAGACACGTCTGACCTCCCCTCGACACTTTATTTTTTTTCTCCACCGAGCAGCGGCGAAACACGAGGGAAGACGTGCAGTTTATTTACGCACCGGCCAACGCAGCATGTCCCGGGCGGACTAGAGAGACAGAGAGAGAGGCGACCCTGCTGGAGCGCAACGCGCACGCGGAACGGCGCTGAGAGCCCCACTAGGAATATTTACAATAGGAGACTCAGTTCGCTTGTGAAGAAGAATAGCAAAGGTTGGAGAGGAGGAGGAGCGAAAGATAACACTGTGGAATGAAGTGGACCTCGGGATTCCCGGCGTGCTGCGGAGTTGTGACTGATGGATGAATGTGGCCATCTGTAGGCTAAATACGGCGACAGGTACAGACACCATCGGGAGGGGAGACGCTCTGACAAAGACGCGGCGCAGCGCTTCATCGGCAGCCGCATCGCTAAACTGTGTCTCCAAATAAATAACACAAAACTGTGCGAGTGGTTGGATCTGTCTCATCGCACATGAGATCGCATCGTTGACGACTTGTCTCGACGCGTAAGAAGGTCGCGAAGAGCTGTTTTTTGTGTCTCAGCCACAGGTCAACCAGGACACTCAGCGGGCTGCTCGCCTCCCAGATCCGATCGAGAACCCGGGTGGGAGGGGGGGGGGGAAGCTCCGTCGCACGTCCCTGCGGTCAGTTCGGACAAGGACATCCGAGAGGGGATCTGGAGCAGATTTTTAAAAAATAAATAAAAAAAGGAGAATAAAAAGGTCGGACAGAAGGACATGTATCTGATAACGACCTCACATGCTCCCGACTGATCGCTGCTCACCTTCCCACCGGGCGAACCACAGATAGAAAAGGCTGCCAAAGGCGCACCGCAGTCCGACGCTCTGAGATCCTCTGCTCGCTTGTCCGCGTACACACACACACACACACACACACACACCGATCAGAATGGCGGGACTCGGTTGTTGGAAGTATTACCTCTGGATCTTTATTTTAACGTGCAGGTCGGCGTTAACCTCGGCCAAGTCGATGGAGACTATAATCTGGGGCTCGCAGAATTCCAAGTAAGTCTCGTATTTCATTTTGTACCAGCACGCCAACAAAACTCACTGTGTGTGTGCGTGCGTAACGGAGGGCTGACATTACTGGAAAAAAAAGTTGCTATTGTGTGCAAGCTGTGTTAAATGTTCTGTTAAATGTGGCACTTGGAAAAAGGGGAACATAAATGCATTTGGTTTTAGGCTAATTGTCATTCCTGCGCCGCACAGTTTCGTGTTGATTTATTTCTCAGCGGGGGGGATCTCCCAACTCTATAGAAACCCAGTAGGCGCAGGCTTCGACAATATACATTAGGCCTCGCTGTAATGTATTGTTAATTGCTGTAATTTATGGCTATATTACACGCCCCTGTTTATTACCAGATAGAGGGGGCAAAGTCTGCTGGGACACTTCACTTCGGCTTATCGGAGTTTGTGTGAGTCACTCCATTTCTTCCTGTCAGTTTCTTGTAATTGGTGACATTCCCTGAGTGGATGACAGGAGTCGTGGAAAGCATTGCCAAGTGTGCCAAGGTGTGGTCCAGTTCACTGGATCCGGGACCTCCCGGGGGGGGGGGGGCTGAACATGGGCTCACATAGCTCCCTGTGAGGGCCACGCTGAGTCCCAACTCTCCCCAAGTTTGACTTAGAGTTCGTCCCCACACATCTGTGGGATGAGGTGGTTTTTCACATACCAAGAGGAGGAAATGCTTTGAAAGATATTCAAAATGTTCTCTGTTTTTATTTCTGGCTCAGATCCAGCCTCATTTTTGGGTGCAAGTTTTCTCAAAAGCGAGCAGCTGAAGCCAGACATTTTTTCTTCTCCTAAAGATTCATTTTATTCCCATCAAAACAAGTATAAAAGTGAGCCCAGACGTGCTGATAATAAAATACGCTCTGGTAACAATTATCACCCACTTAGACTCGACTCCCACATTTGCATGGTGTTGGAAAGCATTCATAAGGGGAAAATAAACTAAAAGGGAGGGAGAGAAAAAACCCTCTCCCTCTTTCTCTCGCTTTCTGTACGGTGCCGAGCCGAGGAGCTGACCTTCATTTGAGCTCACTGCACCGAGGGGATATGGAGAGTAGCTCAACCAGCTTATAACTAGAACTTACTCGTTCAAGTGAATCCATGATTCATCCCCCAAATGTCAGGTGTCACAGGAGCTCGTTGTGCAGTCGGTAGGTATGAATATTGCTGCCAGGTTCACTGGAGTGTGTGTGTGAGTGTGGCCTGGTCCTAATGGTGAGACTACTACGGCCCATCAGATTTTATTTGAATATATGGCTGCAGAGGTAGTGGAACAATGAGCCTTATCAGACACAGATCTGACACACGTGCAC